GGGCTGCTACACGCCTCGTCGGAGGACTACGTTGGATCAGCTACAAGGGCCGACTGAATGCAGTGGGACTGCTCCCCGTGTCATACAGACTACTGAGAGTCGACCTGGTCTACACCAGACGCATCATCCAGGACGACTTTGGCCCAGAATTACAGTTGGAATTCCCCCTAAGGAACAACAACCGCATCAGAGGAACATNGCACGATGCAGTGAAACGGTCTGCCGCTGATATATCGTCTGTCGAGAAGGGTGACAAATCTCTGGAATGCACTTCTGGAGGACGTGGTGGATGAATCAAACGACAGCATCTTCAAGCTAAAACTCGACAGAGCTATGCAGGTGCACTAGTCTGGTATCAACACCTAATCAGCCCAGTGGAGCACAATGAGATGGGGCTAATACGGGACCTCCTACTGCCCTTAACAATTAAAGATTGAAGAGTGAAACCACTAATTGACCTTAGAAAGCAACGTGAAATATGCGAATCTGATGAAACCTCATTAAATGAGGCGACCCGATTCATCCTTTTACTCTACAGAACACATTTGATTATACAGGGACTCGAGGTGTATTCCCTAAGGAGTAGGTTCAGTGATACCGGGGGATGATAACTTGTATGATCAGTGTATGAAAAACACTGTCTAAGCCGCGTCGCGCGAGTCTAATGGGAAACCGTACGAGAAATGTTCAACCTAGGCGTAGAGGTTTAGGTGATCGTGGCCGTTCACTGGAGAAAGTGTTCAACCTGTGTAGAGTAGATTGATTGGGGCGTGTGTTGCACATGCCACGAAATAGATTGTCACACCGATCAATGTTTCCCGAGGCAGGTAGGTAGTGGATGGAAAAAAAGCCAAAGGTGGTCGAAGTAAAACCTGGCACGATGGTATGAAAATCATCACCAGGAGAATCGGTCATATAGGTCCCGTTATGCTCCCTGGCTGGGGACCTCGGGATCATCGTAACCAGGGATGGATTTGTAATACAGATAAAACCCAACCAGGTGAAAACACCTGTACAGCTTTCCATTCTAGCTTTTCAGTTCACGCTTCATTTGCTCTATACACGATGGATTCCGTACTATTGTTCATTGTTGAACTGACTGAATTGTCCTGGTCTAAAAACTGAAATTTTCATCTCTGAAATGTTTCTCCCTAATATACCGTAATTATTGAACTTGTCGTAAACATGTTTGTTAGGAGTGCTCAACTATATGAAAGCTGAGCAGTTTTAACTAAACATCCTCTTCAACTGGCCTCCATTCTCAGTAAACCTCTTCCAGCTCAAATATTCATCTGTACAAGGAACATTATTCCCGACCTAGGGCTCAATTTAGCTATGGATGAATTTAATTAGACTTGAACCGTAACTATACTGTTGATGATAATCATTGAGACCGAATGAATTGAACAGAGCTTCTCAGATTTCCCCATTTCGAGTCGTACGCGCAGAATATGAATTAAACTCTAATCTAGTCGGTTTACTTGTAGCAAGATTGGTCGAACATGAGCGGAAGTCCTGATTTAGTAGGATGCTTTTGAATGGAGTCACCAGATAGTCAGCAGTATCATCCCAACAGGATCTATGAGCCGACTATCATTGAAGAAAATATTTGAGAAAAATGTTTAGCTGATCCTTCTATTCAACTCCCATGTGAGCTTCTTGGCAAGGTGGAAATACACATAGCTTCCCTGCAATGGCTTTGCAGTTCAGTACTCGGATTTTCAGTCGAAAATACACTATTGATCAGTTCTAGCAAAAGTGAAACTTGATTCTTCAATACCGGAGCCCATTTTCACTTAACATTGTCTTTTTTCTACTATTATCTACCTTAACAAACATCGTAATCCACGGAAGCACATCCGGTGATGTGGAGTGCAAACATCTGTGCCAGTCAGTGGCCGTGAGCATCTGGTCATTTTGTGCTTCATTTCAAAAACAGTTGATCCAGTTTGCTAATCAGATTAAAGCAACGATGCATAAGGAGCAAGGTTTGACCACTACTAATCCACGTTTATCACCCTAGCGTAACGATCAAGTCTGTGCACCTCAAAAAAATGCCGAAGTTTAACGGCTTGCGAGCAAGCTTAATGCCAACACAACAACAATAATGAAAAAAGTGGGAGGCTGGGTTACTAAGCAGTGCAAAATGGATTCAGATAGTAAAATCGAATAAAGAGAAGAACAACCTTCCTGTTTGTTTCACCGTACAGTTTTTGATATTCTCGTGCTATTTTATCGTGTTTTTGTGGGGCATGGGATTTCAAAAGGCAGGCAGTACAGTACTCGGACCACTGACTTCTATTCTGGACCATATCTCTCAGTATCTCTAACTAACGACAATCCTCATCCATTGGGCCCCAACCTGGAAGGCAGGCTGCACCCACCGAAGCGAGATTCTTCATACCTCTACGCCATGTCATGGTCTGACCGTCGCGGAGCTTTTTCTAGCCTTGTCCAATACGTGCAAACAGGGCATGGAAATGTAGCTGATGGGTAAGCATACGTAATATGCGACCAAGACATCGAAGGCGATGTAGAGCGAATACTTCTGTTAGAGAGCGGCTATCCGCACCCAACACACGACGACGGACCTCGTCATTGCTCACTTGATGTTCCCACCAGAAACGAGCCATGCTTCGGAGACATCGGTGGTCAAATAAAGAAAGTCAATTAGCATCCTCAACTTGGAGAGGTCAGGTCTCGCAACCGTAAAAGAGAAGGCTATGAACCGCGGCGATGTACATACTTCCCTTAAGGGGCAGTCGGATGTCATGGCGGCGCTGCAAGTGTCGCAGGCTGGCGAAAGCTGCTCTAGTTTTCGCTATTCGTGATGCGTTCTCCCCAACACCACCACCAGCTGCGATCAAGCTCTCAAGGTACTTTAAGCTCTCAACCACTTCCAGCTGATCAATACCGACGGTGAGTGCATGTACATGCTCCTGCCAGTCTTGTACAAGCACTTTGCTTTGGGACGGCGCAAAGCACATTCTATACCTGGATACCTAGATCGCCAAGCGGTTCAACGCGTCTTGGACTGCTTGTGTGTTGTTACCTAGCAAGGCGATGTCATCGGCATATCCTAAGTCAAGGACTCTGTTCCCCAGGAGAAGTTCAACTCCACCCTTTGCTAGACCAGATAAAGCAATCTGTAGAACATCCTCTACAATAGCACAATAGCTGTCTCAAGTTGGCAAACACCAATCGGGTCTGGAGTATGCGAAACGACAGTTCATCAGAGATTCATCCACCAGATGAAGTGTAGCTGACCGAAGTGCAGCATTTGTATGCGTCCTCTCTCTCTCTATTTTTTCCTCGGTTAAAATGGGTTCGCGAGCTGGACAAACAGAAGTCTATTACCCCAGTTTACACTTTAAAGACACAAACGCATGCCCAAACATAGCTACAATAAAACCGAAGCTATTCATTAAAGCTACAAGTATTTATCGGATTTTCACTCAGCAATTCAGTGCCATTTCCGGCGTCAGATTGAACAACGAATCGCCTGTGAGTACGTCCGTTGTCACTCGATTAGTAATTGCAACAATATGGTAGAAAATGATCAATGCCGCACAGCTAAGATGTGTGTTCTTTACGTCACCAAACATCCGATGCTAGAACTGCCTATGTTTATCTCATCTATGATTGTCTATTAATTCAAATGCACCTGTGGAGCGAATGACAAGGCAGGTTTCTCAACGGATCAAAGAACACAATTCACGCTGGCTCACACAGGGTGGGAGTGGAGCTGTGTCAAGCTGGATCGTTGCTCACCTGGTAGAGACGGGACACTTGGCTGACATGCGCTCAGCATTTGCAATCATCTATCGAGTCTCACCACACCCCTCGAGAGCAATACGGTTTCGTACGCTAGCAACCGCAGAGGCGATTAGCATCCGACTCATGAAGCCTGAGCTGTGCGCGCAACGCAAACTGATTCAAGCTCTCAAACTTCCCTGGCCAGGGGAAGAGAAAATCGCTTGTTCACACCATGACATAACCACTTTGGTTATGTGATCCAAACTGAGCACAAATTTTGAGTTCTATTGGGCTCATTGCCAAACACATGATTCATCCACCTTTCTGTTTGAAATTTTTTCATATAAATGTGAACAAACGTGTACAAGCAAAGAAAGATTACTAAATTTAGAAGTAGAGGGCCAACTCCGGTTAATATTGGTCAATATCTGCACTTCTCCAGCTTTCCCCGCATGACTTAAAAACGTGGGCTCGTGAGAACCCTATTTCATCCGGCGAGAAACATTTGTTCTCCAGGTAAACTGAAGAAGATTTCCTAAGGAGAACATTGCTAAACAATGGTTTCCCGAAAAGGTTTATAGATATTCACAGTAGACCAATTTCAAAAGGTGACCCATCCCAAAACGTTGATAAAAAGGCCATCTACATCAAGCTTGCTTTTAAAGGTGATCACAATGATGTGCGCCAGAAGTTGAGTTCAGCTCTAGACCATACATTCCCAGCTGCCCAACTCAGACTCATCGCCTCCACTCGTGGAATCGATTTGGACAACCGAAAACATGGCTGGCAGTTCTGTCTCACACACTGTATACCATTTCACCTGCAGTTGCGATGACGCATACATAGGCAGAACAAACCGTCAACTGTCACAACGGATGGCCGAATATATTCCAAAGTGGTCGGTGAAATCGATGACGCAACCGACAAACGATGGCCAAGTGATTGTAAGAAATCCAGGATCATCTGTTGCAAAACATCTCATGGCAACAAGACACACAGTTGACCCTAATTCGTCTTTCAAACCACTATTAAGTAATCGAAATGCTAAACTTTTGGCGATTACTGAAGCACTGCCTATTCGATCACATCGTATAAATGTGATTGTAAAGGCTTGAAAAGGAATTCACCGAAAACATATGTTTACCTACACTGTGTTCTTCATATGACAGAACTTGATCATATTCAAAAAGAAAGATTATCTGAAGAAAAATCAGACAAAAAAGCAAACAGTTTTGAAAGGGATGTCAGCATAATGATCGAGACGGATTGGTCGACTCATTCACCTGTATTTTTGAATTACTGCGAAATTTGATCCAGTGTTCCCAGTCATCCTGATCAAACGGGTCCTCGATCGAGACAATCGGATAGCGTCCGACCAAATTCAGATAAATCTCAAGCAATTTATCTCCGCTAAGACAATCCCGTGGATCGTTCCGTCCCTGTTTGAAATTCATATCGTATTTGCCATTTTTCACGTACATTTCCGACGAGGCCACGTCCATCCCGATCACAATTTTACCCACATAACCGGCCGCGGCAATTGCATCGACGAGAAGATCCAGAGCTATTGAATCAGTTTTTCAGATTAATAGAAGTAAACAAATTGAAGTTCAAATGCTACAGTCCCTCTTTACGAGGTTGTAACATGCTCGGGTGTCAAAAGTTCGATGGATAGTCTACAAAAACTCACCCAAGATACGCGCGAACCTCAATCGATCAATTTTATCATCACTTCTTCCGACTATTCTTAACAGTTTAAGCTATCAGACCAACGTTCAACATGGAATTGTTGTGACTGATCAATTTCGCTCATTAACAGTTATATTCACTTCTCCAATCATATTCAATAGGGGAAATTTACACAAATTGATTACCATAAATCATCTGATATTCCCAAATGCTCTGAAAGAAAACCCAGTTTACGGGGGCTCGGGTGAGCATAACGAGTGTTGGAATTGGCGATGAGACATACCCCAAATCTCAATGTGTCTAGAACTATTTAGCAGAAATGGTCCAAACTGGAGAAATATGTTGCCGAAGAAAAAGCTATTTAGCATGAAATAAAAAAGAATCACAGTCAATCTCCTGCTGTCGCATCCCTGCGAAGTCACATTTTCCAATATCTTCCCAATTTTCCGAAAACCCAAACCAGCCATAGGCTCAGTAACGTAGGTTCTGACTATGCAATATCACACTCCTCAATATGGCGCAGTTTTTGACACGTACTCACTTAGTCGTTGATCGATGTTCGGGACAACCATTGGCCATCCACTCTGAAATGTGGCATTCAACCAATGGCGTTGCACCTAGTGTGACGCGTTCGTGGCACTGTTCACTGATTGGATAATCATTGTGAAGAAGTCACACCAATTTAAGGGACAGGAGACGTTAAAATGTGCATGACCCTATAGATCAGAGAGAAGCAGAATGTGTTGGAAATGCTGAAACAGCCAGGTGCGACTTAGAGCTCCGTAGCCAAATCACTTGGAATTTCACGAAAAGCTATTCACAATGTTGTATCCAATCAAACAACTATCGGGGAATTTTTGAACGCTGAGGCAACTTAGGAAAGATGCCACCTGAAAACCCAACGAAAAGTTCAAGGAAGTGAATGAGACAACTTTGGCTTGGTTTACTGCTATGAGGGAAAAGCACGGAGAGTTCCCAATGATGGAGAGCATCGTACGTAAGAAGGCACTCCAGATAACACAAAGATTGCATCACAATGACTTCAAGACTTCCAAAGATTGGTTTCACTCTTGGTCAGACAGAGGTGGTATTCAATCGTACAAGGTAAGAAACAAGCAACTCATGTGCAGGGAGTTTAGCGGTACCACGTGGACGAGTTTCGAGCGGGGTTACCGCAGTTGATACGTGGGTATGCTGACTGTGATATTTTCAATAAAGTTTAAACAGCTTTGTATTACAGGCACCTCCCATAAAGAACACTAGGTCTGAAAGGAAAGACAGTTTTTGGGTTCAAGAAATCCAAAGAGAGGGTCATGTTACTCCTTTGTGGAAGCATAACTGGAGAAAAGTTATCACCGTTGGTGATAGGAAAGTTTCAAACTCCACGATGCCTCCGAGGTATAGATAGAAAAAGCCTTCCATGCATTTATAATTCTTCAAAGAATGCATGGATGACTTCTACGTTATTTTACAGTTGGCTGTCCAATGTCAACAGCAAAATGGCTCCTCAAAAACGCTCAATTTTACAATTTAAGGACAACGTCCCTTGACATAACAAAACCGCGGTATTCTCCATTGTCAAATTTGTACAGCTGCCTCCGAACCGTTCTTTGATGTTATAACCAATGAATCAGGTCTTGATTTGGTATTTCAAACGTTCGTTTCGCAAACATTTATCGGAATATGTTTTTTCTTTGGTCGAAGATGAGTAAGGTATCAAGAAAGCCGAGGTGGACATTCTCATGACCATGCATCTGGTCAAGAAAACTTGGGTATCTGTGCACCCGCACGTACTCTTCAACGCTTTCATGCAAGTTGGGTTCAAATCCACATTGATTCAACCGGTGCTGCAGCCACCAGAGGATAAATGCGATTTGATCGAGGACTTTATTCATTATTTGTCAATTGATGATAGTCTTTTTGAAGAAGAAATTGCCGGTTTGGAATTTGGTGATCAAGAAGTAGGTTATTTGAGATTTAGGCTTTTTTAGTCATTAGATGAACTCGTTTTGAATCAAGCTAAGCATCGCAAAGAAGAAGATGAATGTGAGGCAGTGAATGCGCCGGGAATTATCTCAATCCTAAAGGTGCAGAAGTTATTGAATCAATTAAGTCTGTTTGTCTTGGCTGATGCTCGAAGTTCGGGTTCATTATTGGAGTTTGTAATTGATTTAAACAGCGTGCTTGTTGATTTACAAAGGAGAGCCAAGTCGAAACAAATGATCGTTTATGATTTTGCTAAAAATACATTTTTGTACTCTGCAAAGTATTTTTGCAATTCTGTGGGGCACTAAACGGAACTGCGGGGCACTCAAATGTGGTCACTTCAGCTACAGTGGTCACCAGATCCACGGTCATTCGGTCTATCGATGGGGTCTGTCGCACTAACGTGCAAACGGGCGAACGATAATCACGATTGACTGGTAAGTGGGTGAGTGGAATGAGATGTCAGATCGGAGCCATCGATAAACACCGTTGCGCGAACGCGGCTGTGTGAATGGATGAAGTATACTCTCACTTGTCCTGGAGCACCGGTGAAATTAGACTGGTCACTTGCCAACGGTCATCGTAACCTGAGTCTAAGGACAGTTTGTGAGATGCTCTTTTAGATTGTGTATCGTCAGGTGTTTGAGAGTTACCATAATTCCTGTGGTCTGGCGTCTATGGCCTTCGGTTGGCTGAACAGGAGTGAATTTCTTCCAACTTCTAACTTCTTCCCGTCTGAGGCCTGCCTGAAAATTTGAGCGAGAACGCGCTTAGAAACTAATGCGTGTACCTTAGACGAGTCAAGCGTTGGTCCAGTGTCATCATCTTTTGAACCTTTTCATCCCGATTCTCCCACATGGCGAATCATTTCACAACTGAGTCTCCTGTGTTGATTCTCTACCAACACTTAAGCAGCATCCGATTCCGAACTTATCCTCTCCCTGTGCCGGCCAGAAAATCACACTACCGATCGGGTTCATTGATCGATCGGTTGGATTGGTTACCACAACAAGAGACCTGGCGCATGCCCACTTAACTCGAGCGAGAAACCACACCTTGTCCCCAGCCGCGAGTCTTTAGCAGACCCAGTGAACTTTGGCAGTACAGCAGGCGTGCCTTCACCACACGCATGAACTGGACATAACAACAAGATCATCACAAAAAGTACAAGACAATGTGAAAACGATGGCGTAATCGAACTATCGTACTGTCCACACAATAACATGACATCTTAAATAGTTACTCGGACATCTTAAATTGAAAAAGGTATAGTTTAAGAGTCACGTTATGGCATCAGGTCTTGAACTTAGTCCGACCAACAACGGTCATGGTCAATGCATCAATCGGATTGAACATACACTGGTAACAAAAAAGTGAACGAAACAACAGACGTCTACAGACGCTAATTGGGTCATAATTCCAAAAGGTGGTGCTGGTCGAGGATATTCGTTTATTGAGGATTACAGCTGAGAGGTCAATAATTTTCCATGCTTGGTCAGAAACAGGGTAATGTATAGAGCAGTTATTCATTATTTTTCCAAACACATCACTTGACCCTTGATGGTCTTGTTATACTTTTGATCATCAAAAGTCACTTACTATTCACGTGAGTAGTATCTCACGGCAATTGTACACATTCTCAGCTATACCTTTTTCACTTCATGTCGTCCCAATATCATATCCAGATGTCCCGGAAAAATTTCAAGATATCTTGCAATTATTTCAAGTTATGTGGAGATTATTTCAAGATGTCCTGGAATTATTTCAAGTTGTCGTGTTGACCTCACCGCTGCTGACAAGTTTCCCAGAGATGTCTGGATGACCACCATGCAGCACCGATTTCTCTATCTCCCGTTGAAGCGCGGGGGACGACTGTGAGACGGGTATCGGTCACACACGCCTCAATTCCCATGACATACATGTCGGTTGTTCATTTCGCCAGTACCCGTACGCCTCTGTGTGTGTGTACCCGGCCACTGATACCAGTGATTTACGCGCNCGCTCGAGCCATTGCTTACCTGCATCGCATGATACTGCAATGGAATTCATAAGCTACACCTCAAGCCGCTGCACTGGGACATCAATAGATCATGCCAGATCGATATACACATCAGTGTTGACCAAATTCACATTCAGTTTGATCGACACTTTCAGGTCATAATCCATCTCTGTGACACCACCACAGAATGAGCATCTTCAAATACTGAACAATCCAAAGAACCATTTGACCATATTTTCGGAACGGAATGAGATATCTCTATCAGATTAACTGTAATAGGAACAACGTAACAAGGACTATCGAAAGATGTCATAATCTACATAACAGTTAAGGAATTTTATAAGAAAATACAAGTTTAAACATATATTTCCGGGAGAACTAGATACTTAGAACTGAAAAAGGGCTGAATACCTCATGCAATGTACCGATTTTAAGCTGAGGAAGTCATAAACGATTTAAATGTCATCGATATGTAAGGGATACACACGACGGTAGACATAAATTCCGTTATAAATAAACAGTTTATAATTATATACATTGGGAGCAACTAACAGGATTAACCTACATTCATCGTTCCGGTTTATTTTCTCAGAAAACTGTCAACCGAATTTTATACCTCTTATTAGCATCTACTACTGTTTAGTCTGCTATATCGCGGTTCCTGGAATTTGCCCACATTTTCGAATTCCCGATGGGTGCGACATAGCAGGAGATTGACTGTACCAGTATTACTTCCTTGGTACTTTTTCTGATGTATCAGAATACGGTTTAAAATATGCTCGGTTGTAAGGTCAGAAAATTATCACCCTGAGGACCGTGTGCTCGAATATCATCATCACCAATTAACTCTCCCTGTCCTAAAATTTGTATCAATTGTATGTTCAATAAAAGAAAGTAAAAATGCAAATGTAAAATGAAACGAAATAAATTATGGAATCAGCGAATTTACCCAAGCCATTATCCTCGTCTAGAATCATGGATCGCTGTGAGTTATTCTTATCGCCACACGTCCCACTTTCGATCTTACAGATGTAATCAGGCTATGAAAAGATTCAACGCGGATGACAAATCATGTTCAAATTGTTGTTTGATAGATAAATGATGTAACAAGAATCATAAAATATGAGCATGCTGATCGATTTATCGATCCATTTTGAGGTGATTCGCTTCCTTACTCAGTCAACCGAGGCCAGATACCACTGGGTTTGTTTATTCTCTTCTCATCCTCGAACAGTAACTCATTCAAAAGTACTTTTGTTTGTCTATGAAAAGATCAGTTCTTACCGACGACAAGGTTTTGATAGTTATGGTCCAATTGTTGACGTGTGATGGCAGAAGAACCAATCAATTCACCTGGTTCGTGTTGGAATGTGATTGGTTGGATTCAATTGAAGTTATGACAGGTGCACTTGAAGTTGAAAGGGCATAGTGTTAATACCCGACCCAGCTGGTCAACAGCTATAGGCTACACTAAGCTGGTCAGATTTACCTCTCAGTGTGAAGGTCCACTGAGTTCTACCCACAAGATGCTACGTTTTACCATAATTTCAGTCCAGTTGGTACAACCGTGAACCGTGCACTTTTGTACACCGTTTTTACTGACTGTCTTTTGGCTGCCCGTTCGGATGAAACACGAGTGGGAGAAAGGCAAGAAATTTGAAATTGGAGTCGAAGAGAAAATGAAAAATTTCAGTAGAGTTATTTTGCAAAGAAATGCGGAAGATGCACGAGCCCCATTGTTCACGACACCCAGCCATATCATTTAGTGATTCTAACCAGTGATTACAAGAATTAGTTTGGTACGTACCTTTAAGTTACCATGAGATTATCCACACACACACGCACACACACAGCCTGACATTTCTGTACGGATGTAGGTTTGCATGTATTTGGAAGGATAAATATTCAACGAACCCTAGTTGATCATGTGAGTTTTGTTCATATGGAATCGATCCGATCATGTTTACTCACGAAATCGATATTCTCAAACACCGCAAATAATTGACATTAAACGAAAGTAATTCCGAAATCTAGAAGAAATGTTTCGATTAAAATATTTCCGGTTTCACTTCTCGAACGGACTCGGTGTTAGTCATACAAACAACTAATGGAGGGCTACTTGTTGTGAAACTCCTTGTGCTTGCACTATGTAGGTCTATGGGCAAAGTGAATTTCTTTTTTNTCTTTTTTCCTAATCTTTTTCTCTTTTAATTTCTTGTTTTGAACATACAAAGATACAATTTTCGGGAAGGGGAAAGCGGCCCTTCAAATTGCTATCATTCGACACACAATGGGGAGAGTTAAGCGGTGGTGGTGGGATTCGAACACACATCCTCCGGGGTGATAATTTGATGAATTTACCATCGGACCAACACCAGGTTCCTGGTAAGTGGCAACTTGAATTAAAAGACAGTGAAAGTTTATCCCATGCGGACCCCGTACCCACACACAGTTGGAGCTCACTCACCTTCGACCGGTGTGGAAATATTCGGTGCGAATCCACCTTCATCACCAACATTACACGCGTCCAGACCGTATTTCTTTTTGATAATGCCACGTAAACAATGATATGTCTCACTGCCCATACGTACCGCTTCGGCAAATGTTTTCGCTCCAACTGGGAGTATCATGAATTCTTGAAAAGCCAAACTATTTCCGGCATGTTTACCTCCGTTCAGCACATTGAATGCCGGGACGGGTAAAGTGATGGTTCGATTCCCGGCTAGATTTGCAACCCATCGATAAACGGGAAGATTCTACGCAGACATGAAACATCGGGTTGGAAAGAACAGAGGGTAATACAGAGAAACATACTGAAACAGATGAGATGATTTTGTATTGTTTTTAAGATATTCGAAATTTGAGGTGTGCTTCTCGACCTTGCTTGCTTACATAAGTCGATCTGCGCTCGGAAAAGAACAAATGATGCAATAAACACCTCAATGTGGTTCAGTTGTGATGTCTATGACGTAAACAATATGACCTATGACGGTTGGACCATTCA